GCCAAACAAAGTAGTTTCGCTTTCACAACGAATCACAGAGTGTCTCCACGATATGGCGGCGACAACAAAAATACTACAGCGAGAATAAAAGTTACGCCTTCTTTCTTTGCGTGAACATTTGGCCAGCGTTATGCAAATCTTCCCACATAGTGATATAGGTATGTGGGGGTGTGTTAGAACGGACAAACTAAGTAATTACACCATTTCAAACATTTTATCTGCGTTATATGTTCTGTAAAAAAAAAAAAATCATATCGGCGGCATATTCGCCGATACCGATATATCGGCAACAGGCTCATATCGGCCGATAATATCAGCAAAACGATATATCGGCCGGGCTCTCATTTTTATGCACAATGGCATTTAGTCTTTCACAAAACATAGCTAACGTAGGGACATTATAACTAGTCACCATATGGATTTACAGTCTTAAATATGTCCATCGCTTTTTTTAAAAGACTGGTCCCTGTTTTTATACAGTCTATGGTCTGGTCCAGTGTTTATCGGGTTGTGCGTCAGTAATAATGGTCCGTGGGGAAACACGGTGTTCAGTGTGTAGTTACAATAAATGGACTAAACGAAGCCTCGAGGCAAATAATTTGCCTCAATGATTTTTTTGTATTCGAGTTACTCGAGGTATTCGAGGAATCGTTTCAGCCTTAAATTATTTTTTAAATTCATTTGATTGAATGAATCAGTGACTCACTCATAAATACTTAATTGTTTCATTACTAGATCAATCAGCATGAATCTGAATGAATCTCTTGATTGAGTGATTCAATGACTACCATTTTTAACAGTCACTTGTCTCCACCTACTGGTGTAATGATACATTCTTTATTTGAAGCATCAAGTTCATTTCAAAAGGTGATTTACACAATTTTTTAGGGCTTGGCAAAAAAATATATAGATTTTTCGATTAAAGGTGCAGTAGGAGATCTTGGAAAATGCTAACTTTAGCCTGATAGCACTGAAAGCGAACGTCCCACCCTCCCTGCAATCGCCGTCCAAAGCCACGCCCCCTGAACGCATATACGCACACAGACCAGAGAATACCAGAGACAACATTACTGCAATGGGCTACATCAGCGTTTCCCAATTCCAGCCCACGTTCCAAAGTGAAGTAAACTTCAACGGATTTCCCCTAGGGAGTAGGGAGCAATGAACACTGTGTAGGGAGCATGTCAATCGGAACACAATTCATGCACGTAGCTCTCTTCTAACGAGCTGGTTATCTGAATCAGGTGTGTTAACTAAGCGAGACATGGGGCTCATGGACTGGAATTAGGAACCACTGGGCTACATCATGTGTCATTCTTTATTAGGGGTGGGAATCACCAGAGGCCTCACGATATGGTATTATCACGATACTTGTCACGATATAATATTATTGCGATTTTAAATATATTGCGATATATATGTTTTAACTAAAAAGAAACATTTCTTTGTTTGTTTATCTCACTTCAGTTTTATTTTTGCAATGCAAAGTGAGATTGTCAAGCAGACAAACTGACCAACACTTTCATGAAAACCGGTCATAAATGTTGTATGCACCTGGCAAACTCAACTATTTGTATTACAGTCTAATCTAGTCCACCTTAATTAAATGTAAACAGGTATGCACTGCTGTGCTACTACAGGTATTTTGAACAGTGCAACTTGAAATTGTACTAAAAAGTTGTGCAGACCCTTCAGCAATTGGGGCATTTGAAAGTAAATTACTGTTAAATTTAAATTAAATTAAATAAAACATGTAGTCTTACATCTAGGGATGCACCGAAATGAAAATTCTGGGCTGAAACGGAAACCGAAAATTCTGGATGCACTTGGCCGAAAACCGAAACCGAAAATGCTTTGTAATGATTATTTATTATTTTATTAAATAATATAAAGTAATTTTGTAAGACTTTTTAAATTTAACTAAATTTTAACGAAACTGAATTTGAAAAAACACAAGCCAATAAAATAACCACACTTTTACTGAAAGTAACACAATAAAACTGGACAGAATTTATATTAAAGGGGTCATATGATGCTGCTAAAAATAACATTATTTGGTGTATTTGGTGTAATGAAATGTGTTTATGCGGTTTCAGGTTCAAAAAAACATTATTTTCCACATACTGTACATAATTTTTTCTCGTCTATGCCCCGCCTTTCTGAAACGCTTTGATTTTTACTACTAGGGGTGGGAATCACCAGAGGCCTCACGATATGGTATTATCACGATACTTGTCACGATATAATATTATTGCGATTTTAAATATATTGCGATATATTGCAATGTATTACCTTTTTCCAGCTTTAAATTATGTCCCCAAAGGAAAACTTTGACCACATCTGTTTTAACTTAAAAGAAACATTTCTCAGTTTGTTTATCTCACTTCAGTTTTATTTTTGCAATGCAAAGTGGGATTGTCAAGCAGACAAACTGACCAACACTTTCATGAAAACCGGTCATAAATGTTGTATGCACCTGGCAAACTCAACTATTTGTATTACAGTCTAATCTAGTCCACCTTAATTAAATGTAAACAGGTATGCACTGCTGTGCTACTACAGGTATTTTGAACAGTGCAACTTGAAATTGTACTAAAAAGTTGTGCAGACCCTTCAGCAATTGGGGCATTTGAAAGTAAATTACTGTTAAATTTAAATTAAATTAAATAAAACATGTAGTCTTACATCTAGGGATGCACCGAAATGAAAATTCTGGGCTGAAACGGAAACCGAAAATTCTGGATGCACTTGGCCGAAAACCGAAACCGAAAATGCTTTGTAATGATTATTTATTATTTTATTAAATAATATAAAGTAATTTTGTAAGACTTTTTAAATTTAACTAAATTTTAACGATACTGAATTTAAAAAAACACAAG